CTATCTCTATAAGATCCATTTTAATATTATCCACCCACCTACGTCTTGGTCTTCCTAGTGGTCTCTTTCCTTCTCGCTTTCCCGCCAATATCCTATATGCATTCCTCTTCGCCCCATTCGTGCCACATGCCCTGCCCATCTCATCCTCCTTCACTTGATCATTTTATTTATACTTGGTGAGGAGTACAAATTATAAAACTCGTTATGTAGTTTTCTCCAACCTCCCGTCAATTAACCTCATACCTGACAGAAGTAATTCTTCCAACTATTCAAAATGTGGGAATCTGTAAGCAGATCACCATTCTCATCCTTCACTAAGTTACTGCTAGGCTGGTAACCCCTCTTAAAGTCATTTACTCCTCTATAGCCTACATGTCCCTAATGTTCTTGCTCTTACTGTTCGTTGCAAGCTCATCAATTTTGTCTTTTTCTGGTATTCATTTTTTTTTCATTTCTGAAATGCCTGCTGGTTTCGCGTCTTATATTGTTCAGAGTATCCCCTTTTATTACGCTTCGATCGTATAACCACTGCAGTTTGCCTTGTTTCCTTTAGTCGAATATTTTTGAGCATCCTTCATCGAACCATGGCTTATGCTTCTTCAGATTAACATCCACCTCAGTGTCTAAGTTTTCCAAGGCCGCGAACCTATTTGAGATTTCAACACGATACTGCTTTTTACAGTCTACCGCATTTAATTTCTTGAGAAAACATCTCCATATGAACTCTGTGCCTTGTTTGTTTGCTCACTGTCAGTCTTTCCCTAACCTTTGCCACCACCAGGTAGTGGTCAGTACCACAGTCTGCTGCCCTGAATGATTGGACATCAAGTATAATTGAGTGCCGCCTCCTATCTGTCAAAATATGCTCTTGTTTGATTGTGTATCTTCCCATCAGGAGATGTCCAAGTAAATTTATGGATGTTACAATTTGGGAACATAGTATATTCGACAATAAGATTTTTGGATGTGGCAAAGTTTACTACTGTAACTTCATTATCATTATTTATTTCGTGTAAACTCTCATTCCCAATTGTTTGTTTGAAAATGTCTTACCTACCTACATTGGCATTGAAATTTCCTAACAAAAACAATTCGTGTGGTATTTAGGGAATTTATCAAATACATGTTCCAGTTCTTCATAGAAACTGTCCTTCATGTCATCAATTTTGCCCTCTGTTGGGGCATGGACATTCAGAACGATGATATCACACCCGCGACCTCTTAGTACAATATTATGTATGGCATCCTATCAGTATCTAACTCTACCCTCGTAACTGTTGATATGATTCTCTTATTTTCGAAAAAACCTGTACATAATTCATGATTCTCATTCCCGTTTCCATAGAAGAATGTATATTCGCCTGCTGGTTCGGTGCCACCTCTGTCCCCACCATATCTGGATCCCGTCTCCTCCATCCGCAACCTGAGGACGCGCCATGCCGTGGTGACAAGGGATCCACCTAACATGGCTTGTATTACCCCTCTTAAGATTAAAATTAGAGGTAGACGCCGATTTAAGCGGCGGTCCTCTTCCAGCATGAAGATGCTTTGTGTGGAAACACGCGACCTGAAGACGTTCTGTTCGGCATACACTGTCTGAAGCTAGACTTGACCTTCTCTGGGTGGATGTCCCGCCTCTTACGTAATTATACATACCGTCTTTACAAGCGTCTACCACTTGAATGGATCGCGAGTCAGATAAATCCTTTCCACATCCTAACACCCTATTTCTTTAAAAACAATTTTATTGTTGAATTTGAGATTCTCACAGCTATGGCTATGAAGATTTCTGTCTTAGGGACATAACGTCGTTGTAGTCCGTTGAAGGTAAACCGAAATTTGAGAGGAATATTTTGCCTCCCAACTTCAGGTCTGCTTGTTATCTCCTTCATGCTGGTTTCTTGTTTTGCCTATTCTTCTGCCTTGAAGGTGAAGGCGACTTCCTCCGAAACGTCGATTGACTTCCAGTGGACTACACGGCGTTATACCAGAAGATAGGACTCTTCAGTTTTTTATTATCCTTCCATATACGCCTTTTGTCGTCGGTGTGGATTATGTAGCTTTGCATGATAGACTGATTATGACTAAGAGTACAGTCATGGCATATTTAAGCATCGTGACATTAGATAATTATGTAGTTAGCACTTTGAAGCCTGAAATTAATTCAGATAACATTTACAAATTTGGTTAGTAAGAATGAGCCTTGAAGGAATAATAGCTATATGAAATTGTACTGTACATATTTCATACCTGATCCTTCTCCAAGTTGTGTGTGTCCAGCAGTTCCGTGGCAAATTCTGTGATGACATCCCAGGCATAATCTGTGTGCAACATGAATAAGCAGAGCCTATAAATGAAACAGTTAGTGCGGATGTGGGCTAAGAAAAATTATGTTGAGACTGAACAAACATCAGCCACCATTAAATTACTGACAGTGTAAAATCGATAACCACATTAAAGGCGGGAGATGCTGTAGTCATCGTGAAAACCATAAAGTTAGGTCTGCAGTGAGAAATGTGTTGCTCAGGGCTCCAGAAATACAACTAGAAATTGCTAGCCACTTCATAATAACTTGCACAAAGCTTCTTGTTTCATATTCACCACAAGTGTTCGTAAACTTTCCCTGGTGAATGGACGAGCATACTTTTAGGTCTTTGCTACAAGCCGGAAGGTCGCGGGTTTAAGTCCCGATGAGGTCATTGGATTTCTTTTTAATTGACCTACTCCTTCCAGCCTCATTAGGCCCTGGGGTTGACTCAACCTCTGACAGAAATGAATACCAGAAATTAAATAAATAATTTTCCTGGGGAGTAAAGCGCGGCCGGCGCGTAAGGCTGACAACCTTACCGCTATCTTTGAGCCGATTGTCTAGATAATGTGGGACCCTCAACATCTCACAACCCTGTGGGCCTTCACGGCCTGGTACAGGGATATCTTTACTTTTTTTACGTTAATTGAGCAGTGTTCGCAATATCTTGTGTAACTAACTCTTTGACAACAAAAGGAAACCGTTCAGTGTTGATTATACCGAAAAGCACCTAATGGATACGATACATTGTCATTCCCTGCAATTTTTATTTCTCCCCCCCCCCAGAACCGACTTCACTAATGTACATCTTGATGACTTCCTCTAAATTTGAAGCTTTGCAAAATGTGTAATGACGTAGAAGTTTTTTTTTCTTCTTTTTTTTTCATATCGGATCATTTGAAGCTCCTTGTTAAAGGACTGACCTTTCTCGGCTGTTCACTACTGCGTATGAAACTATTTGCAATTGTTTTCACACCTAGAAGTCGTTTCCTCCATCCCCGACTCGACAGTGTGACAAGCCTTGGTACTGAGCGACCGCGTGACTTCGGAACTTCTCTTATATGGCGGAGAAGTAAAGATTTTGACAAGGAAAGAAAAAAGTAAATCGTGTGAAACTCTAATGCGTTTGAGAGCAAGACCAGGCACCAGCTAATTAAATCTTGAAGCGTGAAGCTGATCTGAATAGTACATAACAAGACTGGGAGGGTGTGATGCATACCGTAATATACAGTTTCCTCATGTGTTCTTTCCGACTCTCCATTCTGAACAGTCAGTTAGTGGTGATTTGGAAAATAATCGCTCCTTAATGTGATAATCATATGTCGCACATAAATATATTCCACGGGCAAGGTTTAGAGTTTTTAAATGTTAAAACAGATGATGCATATAGTGACCATCACGCATTAAATTCCTAATCTTCTTAGTTTCTTTTAAAGTTGATAGCTTCTCAGCTGATCAAGATATTGCCTGTCTCTTAGCCCACTTCCTACCTTAGGAGGGAAAATACAGTTACGAGATGGCCGTAATCGCGGTGTGTTTGTGTGTATGTATATATGTGTGTGTGTATGTGTGTGTCCTCCCTCAGTTTTAGCTTCAATCCATCCAACCGATCCTCATGAAACTTGGTATAAACATTGTGCTGATTTAGCCCACTCCAACGCCTTGCGTTGTCATTACTTACGACGAGTAATACGATAATATCGGAGAAGCGCGAACTGACGAGGTGGGAACGACACTATCCACACTTACTTTGGGTTTATGGAATGTTGTTTGGTAATAGATCTTGGAAATATATGCACAATTTGTTTATGTAACGTGTTTGTAAAGTAGAACATAAGAACCTAAATGTTGTCTACAGCTTACGGTTTGATGGCGGTAGCCTGTGAACCACTGCAGCTTCGCATGTGAAATTTGGTACAGAGATAGACGATAAACATACCCACACATCGTATAACACATACTTTTCGGAGGCGAGAAGTTACAAATATGGCTACAGTTCGAAACTCGAGGTTGTCTCCAGCAAGTATGACGTAGGCATGTGCAGAATATGCACTTGCTTATTACTTTCTTAAAAAATGAAATAAAACAAAATTACAGAGTGCAGTACAGTAATATATCTGTCGTACTAAAAATTTTAGTAACAGAAAGTAGGCTGGCTCTTGCATTTCTTTACATTTCCGTGTTTACTAATCACCATCGTCGGAAATTGTCGTGAGAAAGTTGAATTATTCCATCCCCCTTATACGCTATTTCTGTATGATTCATTTTAACATTGTCCTCCCATCTACATCTATGTCTCCCATAGATCGCCTTCTTTGAGGTTATCCGAAGAAAAATTTTTATGACCCTGTTTTCCCCATGTGAGCTGTACTATTGTCGGCTTTATTCTCCTTGATGTTATCGTCCTAACAACGCAGGCACTGTGAAGAGTGCAAATGTCTGTGTTATTTTCTCCGGCCTCCTCTCTCTCGATTCTAGATGTTCTGCTTAGAACTTTCTCCTAACTAAATTAGATCTGTGCTAGAGTAATTGTGTTATTTTCAATGTGAAACGTGTAATATAGAAATTATTAATTTTTACTGACTTTTGTTTTGCGAGCTACTGATTCTTTTGTCGTAAAATGACCCTCGTAAGGACTGCTGATGCCACAATTCATAATTGCCGAAGGAATGGTATAAATCAAAAGTAGGTGGGGGGGGCTGTTGGGCCCTGCATTCGAATTACGCACTTTGCGCAGACATGTTGACTACGGTCTCTCGGTTGGACCGAACGTCTGAGTTTTGAGATGCGTAATACCAAGTGTGGGAGTTCGTATAAACGGAAGTTTGCATATCTACTCCATGAATAGTCCATGTGCTTGGGTTCCTCTCCAAAAGAACGGAACGGAGATCTGCATTTTATTATTACTCCAGTGACGCGATCCGTGCCCAGTTCCTTTGAACCTTCGATTTTAACATCAATGCATGGTCAGAAGGATGGGCAGCTTGAATCAGTCTCTATTTTTGACGCATTCATAAAGAAAAGTTTAAAAAATGCGGTTGTTAGCTTCACAGTTTGCACGTAACAACTTATCGGCTTCAAGAGAGATTTTCATTACATTTGCCATCGAGATTTTCACTGAATTTTGTCGATGCGATGTAATTTTGGTAAAAATCGGACAGAAATAGCGAACACTTTACCAGAAGATGTAAATGCATTTCTTCTTGTATCTCGAGCATAACTCCTTCAGTACGTATCAAATCTAAAAATGTTTCGAACAGACGTAGAGAAAAATGAAACATATTTTATGCCCACAAACCATTTCCTATAATTCTTACGAGTTTGAAAATGATTAACAGACAGGATTTTTATTCTATGTCATTTCTTTACTCCGAAGTCATTTTCCCTCGTGAACTGATTTTGCCACATCCCGTGCAGCAACAGAGCAAATGCACCGAAAGTGTTACTATGTGCATACATTTCCAAACTTGCATGGATGAAGAATATACTTGTTCAGGGTCAGTTATCTTATTATTTAGCTAAAGGGCTAACATTTCCAATTGAAGCTATATTCTCGATATGTACGAGTACCAGAACAAACTAACTGTATGTTAGATTTAGTGTGAAGGACATATCACTACAAAATTCGGGTTAAGTCAGTTTACGCTGCTGTGATTAGATTTACAAGTTAAATGTCAGTAACTAGTGCAGCTGTACAAGAGAGGATAATGTCAAAATTGATCTTAAGTAGCAGTTATTGAGGGACTGGACTGCTCTGCCTCAGGATATAGACCAGTGTCGGACTCTTTTGAAAGCGGTAATGAATCTTCGAGGTCTGTTGGGGGGGGGAGGTGTTTGTTTACTAGCTACCTAGGAAGTACTATTGTCCATGGAGTTCGTGTAATTGATTGAGTTATTACGTGAAGAGTGCATTAAGACCAGAAGTCATATATAGACTGAGCGACGTATATTTGCAGTGACGGACAGCACCCATAATAATTTATAGTCTAGTCTTGTTTACCGGCTTCGGGCTGGACGACCGAGAGGTCAGAGTTCGAGTCCCGGTAGGGTCAAGAATTTTAATTTTCCCATATCGTCCAGACCGGCTCTGGGGCTCACCCAATCTTCTATCCAATGGGTACCGGGGGCTCTTTCCCGGAGGTAAAATGACCGGGGCGTGAAGCTGGCCACTCACCTCCAACTAGTGCCGAGGTCAAGAAAATGTGGATCTGTATATCCACTCCCATATACGCCTTCATGACATAGTACTTAATTAGTTGAGTACAAGAACAACTTTACCCTTACCTTGTTTTGCCTGCATTTGTTAGGTTGGCTGTGTGTTCAATTTCCACTTATTAACTGACATATGCCTGTGTATAACAAAGTATTGTAACGTGTCTGGAACCCAGAAGAGTCACTTCTATGGAAACGCTAGAACAGACCGTTGCATAGGAAACAACAATCGCTCTATTGTAGTTCTAACAGGAGTCTCCACGGTTATAACAGAGGGTTCATTTGCATAGCAGCGGCCGAGATTATAAAACGGTGTTGAATGCATTCGCACAGTCAGTCTTTATCCAACCGTCGAAGAAGAGAGTCATGGATTAGTCGCCAAAGAAGTCAGTCTGGATCCAACCGCTGAAGAAGACAGTCCAGTATTGCCGAGATATTGTAAGCAGTAATTGTAACACTGCGAGAGCTAATGATTGTAAGGTGTGTAGGGTGAGCGAGTGGAATAAATCCGCTATATCAAACACGGCGTAAACTTATTTGTGGCGTGACACACACAAAACACGCTACATTGTTGTCAAATGTGTCTTACGAACTTAAACACGCGACGAGTGCAACGAATTATTCTGCGCCTAGTGCTACCCTACGAAAGGAAAAATGGAACATGTGTTAGAGCTCTTGAAGTCTATGCAAGTCTGTGCTGCAGTATATTCAGCAAGGATAGAGCAAGATCTTGTACATTCATGAAAGACGTGACGTCTTAATAGTGCACTTCAGGCTGCACCTACAGCAGATGTGTTTGTTCTTACAATATTTGTGTAACATCTGTTTGTACAAATATATCCCCTGCGCTAACTCTCTGATAATAGAACCTGAAGAATAAAAAACAACCATAACAGCACTGACCACTGGGCATTGTCCTCAGCCAATTAAGTCTAGTTCGTATCCTCATAACATTGCTCTAAGCGCGTTGTAATATCGTTTTCTAATCTCCTCAGTCACCCTTGTGGCCGCTTTCCTAGAGGTTTCGCAACCATGTTTTTTTTTTATACGGTCCTTATTTGCATGACTCTCTGAGTACCATAACGTTGCCATGTCATTCTTGTGTATTCTGAAATCTCTGTTTGCTATACCTCTGCTGGGTTGTCTTAGTACGGTGTTTCCATACAGGTAAAAAAGGTAAAGTTGTCCCTGTGCTTAACTAATTACGCACTACCCCATGAAGGCGTATGGCATTAGCTGGAGGTCAGCTTCCCGCCCCGGCCGCTTTACCCCCGGGGAAAGAAATATTAGTACCCATTATATGGGAAGCTACGTGAGCTCAGAACTTGTCTAGACGACGTGTAGAGGAGCAGAATCTTGTCCCTACTGGGACTCGAACTCCGACCCTTCCGCCGTCCAGCTATACTGACTGCGCTATCCCGGCTCTTCATAGTTTTTCCACATCCTTGAAATTTATTTCTTCACTCAAAATAAGCGAACGTGTCCGAAACCATACAAAAATTCTGCTGTACATTTATTTGAGATGCGAGAACTTTCGTTTTTCAGGGGACGCACCGATCTGTTCCTCCGTGGCATTCTGGACCACTGCACAGAAGCGGATGACATACTTCTCGTTGACGGAAGCGGGTACCATGTGAATCTTCCCAGACGCGTTGATATTGCTCAGCAGCTTCTGGTTTAGTTCGTCCGTTCCCTTCAGCCGAAAGCACACTAAGCCGAGCTGAAACAGTTCCCAGACAAGAAGAATGTAACTTGCTTCGTATGAGCCACTGATTCATGCGACACTTTCGGACTTTTTTTTTCACTCGCTCTACAGCCCGCTTTGGGCCATGGCCTCTGATTTTCAGTTTCATGATCATTTTACAGACGATAGGACTCCTTGGACGAGTGATCAGCTCGTCGCAAGGCCCCTACATACACACAGGACAACATAAACGGAATAAATACATACACATACTATATATCCATGCCTTGTATAGGATTCGAACCCACGATCCCGGCTTCCGAGCGAGCGAAGACAGCACATGCCTTATATCGCTCGGCTACCGTGACCGACGCTTTCGAACATTATGCAGGGCAATAGAAAATCATAATTAGCCTAAACATACCAAATTTCTTGTCATAACCTGTTTCGTGGTACACACGCAATTACTCGGATACATGTTCCGTATTTAGTTGTTAACAGTTCTCCATAGGGCGGCTTCATAATCGAAGTGACGGAGAATTTATTCATATCCGAGTGGTGTGATATACCCAACGCGTGTGAAACTTATGATGAGGAAGCAGGTGTTAGCATCAGAGTAACACTATTTGCTTCAGGCAACACTACAAGACTGAGCTCAAAACTGTATATTTTAATTTGACAGTGTAGACCGAGGAGGCAGATGCATCAGGTTCTGTTCCACTTCTGTGGCATGCCTTGACGTGTGACAAGAAGGAAACCTGGCGCAAACAGTGGAAACCACTGCTAAATTCGTGTGCTGGTACGATTTAATGTCTGACTCATGATTAGGACTTCCTTCACTTTATAAGGCGTCCCATTTCATGAAGATTTTTTCATTATATTTTTTGTTTTGTTTTTATGGTTCACCACTCACCTCGAACTAGTGCCGAGGCCAAGGAAACGCGGATCTATACATCCCCCCCCATACGCCTCCTTGGTACAGTGCTTGATTAGTTAAGCACAGGGACAACTTTACCTTCTTACCTTTTTATGGTATTTGAATTTTATGTAATTAATTACAAATCAATAAAGCAGAGTCCTCGTTAAGAAAGTAATAGTTGTTCAACTACTCAAGAAATTCTCCGCCTTTTATGTAACCCGAGGTTATCATGTTCTCAAGAGCTCGCTTTGAATTTTCGATATTATGTTGTGACGTGACGCCTGAAAGCCGGAATAGTGAAACCAGAATCAGACGTTCGTTGATGAGCGACGACCAAGTAAACACTAAGTTTTCGTTACAACGGCTGGCTGAAATACGTTTCCGCGGCAACATATACATATTCTGGTATGATTCGAAGCGTTTGGCGGAGATTGTCACACGTTTTCATGTCAACGGAGAATAAAAGAGAACAATCAGCTGCTCTACTTGGTGATCTGTGTTCGGTCCGCATGAAGTGAGTTCAGTCTCAGATTCAGATCCAGAGAGAGAATCCGAGAGACTAGAGAGCAGTCCGAGAGACTGGAGAGCAGTCCAAGAGACTGGAGAGCAGTCCGAGAGACTAGAGAGCAGTCCAAGAGACTAGAGAGCAGTCCGAGAGACTAAACAACAGGGAGAGATCTGTAACGCAGCAGTCCTTAGGAAGGAGTTCAATGCGAGAGCAGTTGTAATCAAGTGTTATTGTAATAGAGACGTCCAATAAATCTAACAATCAAATCTAGAGCCCACAATTATTAGTCACGGAACCCCGTATACATGACAATATTTAATTCAGTTCCACAGATCCCTTAAATACACTTGTATTCCATTGGACCTGTTTATTTACATGTAACTTGGCCCAATGAGTATTACCAAATAATTAGCGTTACCTTACCTAATATTTTCGTCAGTCCCTCCAAGAAAATGTTTGGATAATACGTCAAATTAGGCCACAACCGCCTTCGTCTACTTTCTTTTGAGCTATTGATAGCGTCGTTAATGCTTCCTTTATTGAGATATTAAGGTAAATTACATTAAACTACTTGATGGTTTTTTTATTGCTAGTGGGGCGGGACTAAGTCCCTTGTACTGCGGTCACTTCTGGCCTATTGTACCAACCCCAGATGATATGTGAGGGTGATTGTGGAGCAATTAGTGGAATGAAGATTGGCAGGGGAAACCGAAGTACTCGGAGAAAACCTGGCCCAGCGCCACTTTGTCCACCACAAATCCCAGATGACCAGACCCGGGATCGAACCCGGGCCGCCGCGATGGGAAGCCAGTGACTAACCGCTTAAGCTATGGCGCGGTTGACGTGTCCTGATACTCATTTGTGTTAGGGGCTGAGTCAACCCCAGGGCCATAGTGCCACTGCCACGTTGAATGAAAATGTGCATCAGTTCGAAAATGGTACTATGTCTTGTGCAAGTTATGGAAATGTTTAAATTTCTTTGCAATCGTCTGGACTCATAATAGAAAATAATTTTACTGTTACCTTAATTATCTTTATACATTCAGGGATACATTTGTGCTTAAATCATCCTCCTAGACTAATTCGAATGGGACATATCTCAATTTATTTACGATATTAGCAGAAGTAGTCCGTCAGTGCGAGAAGTAGGCAATGCACAGACTGAAAACGTGCGTGGCTGGTGTATATTTGAATGTCCCGTTGCGTTTCTGCTTCATTGTCCATGTCGTACCGTATGTTTCTCATATTTGATATGGATGCTGCCTACTTACCTTAACTTCGTTGCATACTTCGAACCTCTTGTCTTTGCGCACGAGGGTCTCGAATCTCTTTGCCAGACGTATGTGGTGCCGGATGTACTTCTGCAGACCGGAAATGCCATAGTTACGTATCACGAACCAGAGTTTGAGGGATCGGAATCTTCTGCTCAGAGGAACTCCCCAGTGGCGGTAGTCTATGGCCGCGTGAGAGTAGCCATGCTGCACAATGAAAGGTAACAATTCATCTCGCTTTGCATTGCACACAGGGGCAGTTGTGTGATTGACGGTCTCTAACAGTGTTTCTTTATGAGAAGATCAACGTTGTCCCGGTTTCTGATTAAGCACTACGCCATGAAGACGTATGGTGTTGTAGAAGTATAGCTCCGTGTGTTTTTAAAGTTGGCACAAATTGGAGGTACGTATCAGTGAACAGCTCTACACTTGGTACAAACGCTACAGACATAAGGATTGCAGGAAAATATAGAGACAGAATTAGATGTAAATCGTTATGTAAGGCGGGGAAAAAGTAAAGTGTAAATAGTAAAAAAAAAGTACGAAAATTATAGATGTAGAATGAACTGTACGCCATAAAACTAGGTGTTAATCGATGTGAAGTCTCACATAACGATGTAAATTGAACAGTAAGTAATCTTTTCTAAATAAAGAATGAGTGTTTACAGAAGACACTGCATACATACATCCAACCTGTTGACCATATTTCGGGAGGCACGTGTGAGAGTTTCCTTCGTGATTCTGCCGATGGCATTTTTGCCGTTCACTTTTCAATCATTCTAAGTGACTTCAACTATTTTCATACACGCGTTTTTTTATTAAAACCCCACTCAAATTTAGTGATGTTAGATCCGGAGACATGGGACGCTCAAATCCCTTGGAAATGTTCCTTCTTCAAATAATTCCTTGTTGTGTTCAGCTCCATTTTGCTGAATCCATTGATTTTCATGTAGTTTCAGCAAGGAGAAGAGCTCCATATGGATACATTTATATGCTTCCGCGACCGTACACTTAGATATGAAATTAGGCTACAATGAAGATGGGATGCAACGGTCTTTAGTCCGGTGGAAGTTCGACGACTTTCTTCACGACCACTGACGATGAAATCAGTGTGCTCCCCCGAAATGTCGGCGAACTTTGCGAGACCACGCTTCATCACATCCCAGAAGTCGCCGCTGTGAAGACCTCAAGGGGCCAAGGTTTATTTTTTTGTTAGGCTAAGTTTCCGGTGGATCATGGATAATGCTTAATATTTGGAGATTGCTGTTCGTAGAAATCAGTGTCAGCTATCATCATACCAGTCTGTTCAAAGGCGGTTTGAAGCCGGTATAACAGAACAGCACCAGGATACAGCCTGTCCACTGCTCCATGACCTTCACGAAAGTGTGTCCCTGATCCCACCTAATTGCCGGTCCACATGTCCTTTGAGTTAACTGCATTCCTATGGTTATTTGAAATATGTTTGTTCGTCTATTTTATGACGCGTCGAATAAGGTGTGGTAGCATATTTGTCAATGTAAGGTTTAGAAGTTGGAGATCGTAGCTTGTTTGACGGCAGGTTTCCTGTGCAGGCGGTCACCTCAAACAGGCTGTGGACATTGTCCGTGTGCTTAACCCCGTCCCATGAAGACATATGCAGGGTGGAAGTGAAGCTTTACGTATTCTTAATCTTGACATTAGATGGATGTGAGTGGTCGCTTCACGTTCCGGCCGCTTTACTCCCCTGAGAAGAGTACCCAGTAGGAGGCTGGGTGCACCTCAGAACCAGTCTGGACGGGAAAGCGAAAAGTAGAGTCCCTGTCCGTCCCTAGATTTTCCACCCCCTAACTTAACTGAGCTGCCCTAGCTCATAAGATAATAGCAAATCTCACTTTCAGAGATGACACCTATAGCCCTTAAGGCGCATTTTACAGTCTTCTAGATTGAAAACGGCTCCCACTGATCGCAGTATCCAGGTTCTAAATGTATTTTACGATGCTGTATGAACTGATGATGCTGTGTACAGGGCTGGAAGAGATGCAACATGGGAAATAGGAATGATTGTTTAGAAGAGTGCGAGAGCAGGAGGGTAGCTGTGTGGGAGAATAGAAGCACAATAAAAGATAATGCAGAGATAAAGAAATGTTGCTCATGCTGAAGTTGTGGGATGAGTAAATCCTGACAACGCTTATTATTGTTATTCAGTTAAAAAAAAACTGTTGCCATCATGCTTTCTGGAACTCTCGAGACAGGGATGTACAGAAGCATCGTCATTTGTTCTGTATGCATATCGTAGCGTGCCTCCGAGATATAACATACATCGCAAGTGTTTGGAAGAATACTAAAATACTGTAACGCAAGGGGGATGAATTAATGGGCAGTTTAGGGCATCACACAACGGGGAACGTCTTGACTTACAGAGGTCACGCAGTCTTGCTAGTATAGTGAGATTCAAGAGGGGGGGGGGAACTGAGATTTAATACAGAATTTTGGTAGGGATGACTGTTGAGAGCCGATCACAGTGGACCCGCAGTCTAAGGCACTCGAATCGAATCCCACTCAAAGCATGAATGTCTGTATAGTGTGCGTTTATCCTGTGTGCAGATATCGGCCTTGCGACGGGCTGATCCCCCATCCAAGTAGTCCTACTGACTGTGTATAGGATCAAGAAACTAAAAAGGCGGCCAAGGTCCAACAAAGGAATGTAGAGCCATAGATATTAATAGTTCTGCGGTATTGAAACTACGGGTTCTGCTATAATAATATTAGTTGGTTAATGTGGCATTTGCCTGGAGGGACAGAAGAATCAATAAGTTTGGAATTATACATACAGCATAACAGTTCTGACGCCTTCGTACAATTTTGTTTAATTATAACGAAAATTGTAAGACTTATTACAGATATGTGCTGGCCATAAAATATTGGTTTTATTTTTCTTTACAACTTATATTTCGAACACATTTCTCTCCCATAAATATTTGGAGAGCTGCACACAGAAGCGTGTGTAGTTTTCCGTTTAAAGTGCTCGAGTTAACCTAAGATGTAAACGCGGAGAGTTCTGTCTTCCGGGATCTAACGCCTTGTAGACCGTTAGAAGTCAACCGACGTTTCGAAAGAACATATCACCTCCATCTTCAGGTTCGAAGAATTAGCCAAGCAAGAAACCAGCATGAAACAGTACTACCTGCTTCACGTTGGTTTCTTTCTTGGCTTATTCTTCGACCGTAAAGAAGGACGCGACATGTTACCCCTAAACGTCGGTTGACTTTCGACGGACAACACGGCGTTATATCGCAGAAGGCAGGACTCTTCATAGCCACTGCTGTGAATACCTCGAATCGTAAAATGTAAATGTGTTGGCAGATTTTAGTAAAACTTCCCATATAAAAATTAATGAAAACCCGTCGAGCACACAGATTGACTTACAGAAAGACATGGCAAAGCTGACAGGAGCTTCCTTTTGCAAGTGTCCGTTGCGACCATGGCAAAAGGAGTATCCGCCTTTAAGCAGCGCAGTTAATAACTCATAGAGACTGCTGACCGGGTACGTTATCTTTTTCTTTTGGCTCTTTTTTTTTCGTTACAGGATATTTTCCGAAACATGTCTCTGCGTTGCATATGTGGCAAGTAACACATGAAATTAATAATCCTTACTGACATGCTTCATGTCTTTCCTCTAGATCATGATGTTGAAGGACCTTGGAAAGGCACGTCTCCGATGTGAGCTGTGCTACGGAAATTGGTGGCTTATATAATACTGCCTGAAGAAATGTTGCTCACGGTCGCTACTCGCTGTACGATATTGCAGCACTGTGAGGAAAAATATTCTGTGGGCTACCTTGTATATGTAGTTAGTTACCGTATCAGCCTCTGTTTATTTAACTTCTTCTTGAGCAGCTTATAGTCGCTTAGCTGGTCGAGACATTCTCAGCCGTTTATGGGATCGTAATGTTCATAAACGTGTTGAGGAAACCGTCAGTTATCCTGAATCCTGAGCCAGATGTATGAATTTCATTTCATCTTCACGGTAGAAAAATCCGCGAACGAGGATCCCGCGTGAGCAAGTGGCTGTGGAGGGGATACGTTCCTCCGAAACGTCTGTTCACACAATATCTACATGCCACCACATCCCAGAGGACGCCATTCTTCATAGTCACCGCTATGTAAACTTCATACCTTACAAGAGAAGCTTTATTTGCACTGTACTGTGCTGGGATTACGCTTTTTCACAACATCTTCGGTGGGGTGCAGTATTCAAATGGATGGGGATTACTGGCATATGGAATCGTGTTTTGTCCTCTGGTCAACTTAGGTTAAGTCTCACGGATTTTAATCGAATCGTATTTTTCTCTACAAATTTATAGCATGAAAAGGTAAAGGTATCCCTGTAACAGGCCATGAAGGCCCGTAGGATTGTGAGACGTCCAGGCTCCCACATTTTCTAGACAGTCGGCTCACAAATGGCGGTAAAGGTCAGCCTTACGAGCCGGCCGCTCTTAACCTCCCAGGAAATTCCTGATACTCATTTCTGTTACAGCCTGAGTCCACCCCAGGGCCATAGTGCGACTGGAAGGATTAGGTCAATTAAGAAATATGACCTCGTCGGGAATCAAACCCGCGACCTTCCGGCTTGTAGCATAGTGCCTCAACAATCTACACTACCGCGTGCCCCTTTCCAATTTATACCATTTCTTATTTCAGGGTACGTTGGTTGTCTGTAGTTGATCCTATAGTTTGCTGTTGGTATATGCCAGGCATGTCCAACGCGTCGATCGCGGGACGATTTTTGATCGATCTCATAGGCCTATAAGGAAATTATACGTGAAAAGCATGTACAATTCACTTGTAATATAATATGATTATATTCAGATTTTGAAGGGAAAATACGTATTAATGTAGTCTGTACTTTCAATGTATGTTGCTTTTACAACAAACATCATGTGTCGTCTTATTTTTATGAGTATTTTTGCTTAAAGCGAGGTACGACGATACGAGGGGGTGGTAGATCACTGGCAGTTTCGACACTAAAAAGTCGATCACAACCTGTTTGAAGTTGGACATGCCTGGTATATGCTGACATTTTTTTCGCTTAGTGGGGGGGTGGAGTCCAACTGGGTACACTCGGCACGGCGGCCNATATGCTGACATTTTTTTCTCTTAGTGAGGGGTGGAGTCCAACTGGGTCCACTCGGCACGGCGGCCACTGTTTGGCCTATTGTAGCCTGCCT